GGACAATGAGTGTTGGAAACTTGCGCGAAGGCCTAGCTTATAAGCCTATAGCCCTAGTAATGTGGTCGAGCGGTTTAGCCCGGAAGCGTCTACTGGGATGACGCCCACGGGACATGCGGCGCTGGTTTTGGGCCTCGGTTGGGCGGCACAGGAAAGTGCAGCACTTCCTGGACATGCCGGGACACACCCGGCAGGCGGGGTCCTTGGCGTACGGGCAGACCCTTTGCTCCCATCGGGTGAGGTGTTGGAAGTGTCTCAAGGCATCATCGCAGTTCGCATCCGTCGATGGACTCGTGAAGTGTGATGCACAGTCGTCCAACCTCAAGCACTCTTCTAGTCCTTCCCGGTGCTCTTGCCGCGTCTCCTCACTTTCCATTATGTCCACGTACTCGTCTGTGTTCTCGTCAGAGTCGCTTCCTGTGCTTGAGTCGTCGTCGCTGCTGTCGGAGTTGTCGCTAGCTGTGACCTCCGCTTCGCTAACTTCTCCTCCGCTGGCCGCGCCTTCGCTGCCTCCGCCACTTCCGCTACCCCCATGCTCGCTCCCGCTGCCACTGCCGCCACCGCTGCCACCGCTGCCACCGCTGCCACTGCCGCCACCGCCGTCACTGCTATAACGGTTACTGCTGCTGCTACGGTTGCTGCTGCTACTACGGTTGCTTCCGCTGCTACGGTTACTGCCACTACTACGGTTGCTTCCGCTGCTTCGGTCGCTTTCGTCGCCCGACTCCTGGAATGAAATACGTCTCTTCATTGGCTTAGCTGAATAAACTAAAGGGTCGTTCAAGTCATATACATACATTTAAATCGCTTTTACAACGCTCCCGGGTACTCTGCGACACCTAATCGCCACTCTTGTTTATCAACCCAGAGGTCATCTCGTAAATGACATCTTGTAATTTCATGTTGAATGCCACCTATCCACGATTTTTCTGGACGTCCCCTGTGTCTCCTCCCCGGAGGAACCCAATCTAGTACCTTCTTAGGCAATCCGTCATCCGCCATTCGTTGAACATGACCGTACCAGACAAGCTGTTTGGTCATAATTTCATACACGATGTTCTGCCGTTCAAGTTATACGTGACGCAATGTTTCCAATTTTTTTATCCCTCTTTACCACTTGTAACGCACCCGTAACGCAGCCCTACACCCCCCCCCC